ATAATATAAAATATATATAAATATATCCCCATTTCACTCAGGCAGGGAACACAACAAGGGGATGGGGCGGAGTGCAGCCACGGATCCGGGCTGCTAAACGATGCTGCGTCCCCACTGCTCGTGTTAGAATGATTTCACACTTCTGGGAAGAGATGTCAGCAGGGAAACACCAGGGTTGTGAAACCTGCAGCAACCAAGAAAATGTGAATGAACGAACATGCAGTAAAAGAGCAGATGTGGGCACTGGTTTTCCTGCAAATCATGAGGCATAATCAGACATTACTGCCAGGACTGCAAAAGAAACATAAGAATTTATCACTACATTAATAACCACTCACCAGTCGCTCCCCGAGGAGGAAATGGATGGCACAATTAATGTTATTTATTAGGGTTTGAGCTCAGCAGAGTGCAAAATGGGGAGGGTGCCCTGGCTCGCAGACCACAAAGCAGGGCTGTGATTTAGGCAGGGCTTTAAAGTTTTACAGCACGCTTCTGAGGACGTTGGCAAACTGGAAAGGGCTCAGCATCCTGCTGCAGAGATAGAGATGCTGTTAAAACAAGGCAAACGCAGATTAATACTGAGACATTTTTAACTGTGGCCAGTGGGCATCAGGGCAGTTTACTACTGGCTGTAAACTGAGTTCACCGTGACTGTCAGTAACTCCGGTATAGCTGCCATCCTGCAGAGTGGGCTCTGGTGCACCTGATGATCTACAGCCTGTGTGTGCTGCTGGCATGTTAAATAGGTCCTTGTAAATATGGGAACCTCAGTTCAGGCTATCGGAGAGGAAAAGAGCTTGACCAAATGGGTTATCAGTAGGGCTGTCCCATTCCCTGTATGCACACGAGAGATTCACTCTGCAAGACTGGTATGAATTTAAAGTATTTGGTGATACCATCTCCATAAGCCAGTGTGTATCAAAGGCCTTCCCCTGGCTTGTTGGCCAGGTCAGAGCATGAGGTCTGGCCCTTTCCACCACTCAGCCCTCACCTTAACACCTCCTCTAGTCCCAGGAGCAGGTCCTGTCTCCCAAACTTGCCACGAGTAAAAACGTCCCGTTAAAATCCATGTTTTTGTAACCATCCAGCCTGCCACAAATCCCATCTCACGTTCAGGAGCGAGGTGGCTCCAGCCCCTTCCCACCCTGTCACTGCAGTGCTCGTGGGTCACAGCAGCCTCGTGAAACGCTGCATGGCTCCAACATCTCGTGGCCTTTCTGCCCTCTCTTCCCCCATGAGGTCTCCATCTTGCAGACCCCCATGGTTCAACCACAGACTGTTCCCATCAGCACACTGAGGTGACCTCATGGCAGAGATATTGCAGTTAGGGGTGGAGAGAAACAAAGATTGCCATACAGTTTTCATCCATTATGGAACCCATTTTAAATCCTGCCCATTATGTAAACGTGGTGTGACACAAATGGGCTTTTCTCTTATTCATGGTGGCACCGGGGAGGCATTGAAGTGCCTCAGTTCTCTTGAATAACAGGGAGCCTTGTTGAAACAGGTATTCCCAGCTCAGCAGAGCACTGAAGCCTCTTTAAACAACATATCATTTCACCCAAAACAGTCTAATTGTATTTTCCCACAATAAATGTCATTTAGATAAAACCACCTCCCCTGGAGCTAACCCCCTTCTGTGATAACCCTGTTTATTGTACCTTGGCAGAGCTTTCCTATAAGCCACAAGACACAGAGGCAGCTCCTTTTCCTTCATCTCTGGAAGAAGGGTTTGTGTGTTCCCTCTCTGATGAGCCTTCACAGACTGGAGAGGGGACTGGTTTGGTTCACCGGCAATGGACACAAAGCTGTGCTGTGTCCTCAGTCACACCACGTCCGGACGGCTTCACCCTCGGCTTTGTACAGTCAACACACCTGGGGACTCCTTTGAGTTCAGGCTTTACAGAGAGTTAATCAAAAGACAAGCCAAATAATACCAAAATAAAGCATCCCTGTTTCATCCCATTCCTCCCCCTTTAGCACAGGAGCCAAAGGATCCCCAAACTGGGATCACCAGTCATGATGCTCAGCCTCAACCACCACTCAGTCACTGGCAGAGGCACACAACCTCCCTCTGGGCTCAGAATTTGCAATTTCAGTGATAGAGGCCTGAATTCAACTATGTTTCCTCCAGTTGTTTGCAAGGATAATAAAGAACAGGTCAGAAGATGCCAGAGCTAAACATTAACCCAGTCTCCAGCAAGGAGAAACTCCACATTAAATAAAAATCAGCTTATACAATTAAGTAGATAAGAGCATCTCAAAGGAATCTTCCACTTACTGGCCCAAAAATGCTGCTTTGCAATTGCCTGTTTCTTGGGAGAGAGAAAATAAATCTCCTTGAATCAATAACTCCAACACCTGCCATTTACACGATAAAAAAAGAGCACAAGACCCAACAGGTAACATACAGTGTGCTGGTATCTTCTTGCCACTAGAAATTAAAGCTGTAAATAGCCACCAAAATGCACTATATGCCCCCAGGCAAAACGTAGCACGCCCTGCATAGTTCTGCACCCAAGATTTCCCCCCCAGCCTGCACTGGAGCAGCCTGACCCAGCCTGGATGCTGGAGAGGACCCCAAAGCATCTCCTGGAAACTGGTGCTAACTTCAATGGACAGAGATGCTGGTGTTAAGAACACAGCCCCTTGCTGCAGGCAGTGCCTGGATTTCATGCAGTCTTGGCACAGTTTCCTGGTCTGCAGGAGCCCAACCTGGGGTGCAGGAGGGATGCTGGGGCCAGCGCTGTGTCCTCTCCATCCCCGCTCAGCAGAATAGAGCAATCAGAGCTGGCACCGCTCAGCGCGATTGCACCTTCCAGCCAAACTCCTGGCGAGCAACTGTTCTCCCAGCTCCACACCCCTCCACTTAAATGAGTTATAAATAGTGAGAGCACCCTCCACCCTAACCCTGCTGCTGCCAGAGCTTCCAGTCAGCAGGTCCTCACCAGACCCTTCTCCATCCTGCTGAGACACTGAGGCTGTATCTACTGACAGCAGTGACACCCCTTCACTGCTGACTCTCGCTAGGCTGAGGATGAAGCAATGCTGGGGACACTGAGACCCAGCTACCAACTTCCCTCCTCGAGTATCCCTCTGCCCTACAATCTCAATCCCTGTACACTCAATATCCACTCTATAATACCCCACGTACCCGGCAGCACACTCACATTAAGTCTAGATAGAGGAACTTCATAAAGTTCCCACTGTCTAACTCAGGTATCTTGTAAAATTAATAGACTGCTCCGATGGGAGTGGACTTTCATAAAGCCAGGTTGTGTGAGAGCATCTTTGCCCTTGTCTTTTGGCTTTGATCAGCCTTCCCTGGACAACTGGTCGTGGCTTCAGATAGCTTTTACCTTTATTTTTCTGACAGCCATAAAAAAAGCCCTTAGTGTCCCTATTGCAGTAAAACACCACGTGCATTGTAGCATCCTCATCTATGGGATCCCCACAGTGTGGTGACACCCCTGGACTGCTCCCCCCTCCAGACACTGCCACACAGCGGTCTGTGAGATGGAGTAGGGAAGAGCCAGGAGGGAGAAGGGGATGAGGACATTCCATCCTCCTTTTTTGGAGACCAAGCTCACCACAGGAGTGGCGACACTCCCATGGCAATGTCACTATGGAGTGGGTCTGCAGTGGCAAGGGGAGGAGAGCTGAGATGCCAGCTCAGCTCTGGGCACGGCAGGTCTCATCACCAGGAAACACAGCTACACAGAGAGGCAGAAATGTGTGATGAGAAAAGGCAGAATGAGGAAAATTGTCTGTAATTCACATTTCAATAGATGAGCAATCAGTGTGCAAAGCCCTCAAAAGGCATCAGAAGGGGCTCCAGCCTTGTCCATGCTGGAGCTGGTGGCCACTCATCTGCTCCTGAATACAACAGATTCAACTCCAGTTTCTGGGTATCACTAAGGGTAAGAAACCTTAAAAACACTGCACGTTTGATACACCAGCAAAAAGCAAATTCAGTTTGACTACATTTAATCCAAGGTTTCCCAAGTACACAAAATTACATTTCCCTTTCTCTTTCAGAACACAACTGCTCCTACTTCAAGCACTTCACTCCAGGACAGAGCTCAGAGATATTTGAAGTAACCACCCAGAAAGGTAAGAATGATCCTGAAAAATATTCCCCTAACATTGTATGAGCAACCTCATAACGTTGTATGAGGTGCACACAAGGTCTAAGGTAAAGGGGTCCCCAACATGAGGGTTCAATCCTAGCCCCACTAAAAGCAGTAGAGGAACTCCTATCAGATTCCATCAGCTGGGAAAAATGTGGAGAATGCTTTGAAAAAGGTCAAATGCCAACTTCATGGGAAGAGCTTTTATGTATGATCACACCCATAAGTGTGATTTTACTGAAAGCTGTCCCACAAATATATAACACTGTCAATACACAGGAAAACTGCAAAAAGTCTTTTCAGCATAAAGATGATGTTAGAACATTGACATTATCCACGATACCCTGAGCCTTTGCCATCGAAGGAAGAAAACATTAATGAAATCTAAATGAATAAATCATACCCCAAACAGCATCTTGACCCTGAAAAGAAGTACAGAGACTCTGTGAAGACCTGCAGGAATTTTATGCTTCGTATTGATTTTATATGGAAGCCACGTAAAACCAGAGCAATCAACGGAAGGAAGGAACAGAAATCCTACAAACCCACACAGGGTCAGTGTTTTCAGAGCATGGATTTGGAAAACTTGGGTAAATTTCACATTTCTAATAAGTCCCTGATAAAGCCAGTACTTTGAGCACTCGCCTAACATGAGTCTCTCTCTTTCTTGTGCTCTCAATAAGGGCAAATTCCTCTCTAATTTGCCACACAACACGTTTTACTGTGGAGTACACGAGCAGATGATTGCATGACACTTATTAAACAATCTGCTTTTCTTGCAGTGAAAATTACAATGGTGGAAACGGCTGCAGACAGGTTTCCTAAATGTGCAGTTTCCTAAGACAGGAAAGAATTTTAAGTGGCTGGAAGAGCATATATGGGAGCTACCTGCTTTTGCTCATTTATATACTACCAAATGCAGCCATCTGATCTAAAAACACACCCAATGCCATCTTGGTCATGTCAGAAAAAGAATCAGGAAGAACTTCTTTTCTTTGAAGCAAAAGAAAAAGCTTAAGCCCAGCAAAAGATTTCACATGGAAACAAATTGTTTCGGGCATTTCCAGCACACGGGACAGACAAACGTGAAGGAAATGATAATAAAACAGTGGTATGAAAAGCAGTGAGAACAAAGAGTGATCTGCTGTTCCCCTCCACAGAAAAAGCTACATTTTGATGAGAGGTAATTAGTAACAGGCAAAACCTTCATGATTTTGCCTGGGAGATCTATATTTTAATGGCTTGAAAGGCAAATATCACCAGGCACTGTGATGCTCACTCATGGCTGCATGTGTTAAATATTAAACTAATCTGAAAACGAATGCAAGATGTAAATGAAGGCCTGAATTATTCAATTAGCAATTCTCCCCCTCCATTCAGGCACTGAAGTCAGCTGGGGGAAGCGTCCAGCACACAGCTGGCTTAGCAAAAACCAGGATGCTTTATGGAGGGTTTAATCCTATGCTCCGAAGAAGCTGGGTTTCCACAGAGCTGGAAATTGTTGGCTTAAAGGAGAAATAAAGGTAAACTAAAGAGGTGCCATGCAAACACGTCACCTCTGGCCTCCTTGCCTGCTTTGCCTGCTCAGGTTTTGAGCCCCATGGAGGACACAGCTGCCCTTCTGCATCGTACAACATCAGCACCATTTGCAGGGGCCTTGTCAGGGCTCTGGGGTACAGGCATGGAATAAAAATAGCATAAGGCTGCCTATTTACTCTGAGAACAGAGTGTGGGGTGATGGAAGAAGTAAGAGCATGGAGTCCAGAAAGGCTTCAACCATAACATCTATGCAGCAGAGCTAAAACAACTCCAGCCAAGAGCATCTTCAGACCAATTCTGGTGCCACCTGCTCTTTCAGTAAGTGTTCAGAAAGTGTTTCCCCCTCCTGCTCTGTTTCTGTACCCTTCACATGCAGCACATACATGGCCAATACTTGTGCCTGCTTTTATCTGAGGGAAAAACTGAGTTCACAAGAGTCACCTCACTATGGCAGCAGAAGTACATGTATTTCCGAAGTGACCTACTGCAGCCACCGCAGCTGGTGGGAGCATGCTCAGAATCTGCATCCGTTTGCATTGTTTGGTGTTTGTTTTGCTTTGGCAGAGTACAGCATTTCAGCTGCAGCCATTGCCATCTTCAGCGTTGGCTTTGCCATCATCGGCACAATCTGCGTCCTTTTATCCTTCAGGAAGAAGAGGGACTATCTGCTGAAGCCAGCATCCATGTTCTACACCTTTGCAGGTAGGAGGATCAGTGCTCACACACTTGCACTCAGTTCATAGGACAACATAGAGACATTAGATCCTGGGAGGATGGAGACATTTCTAAAACACCCTGAAAGTGGCATTTTCTTCCCAGCCACAGTCAGACTACAAGTCCCTGTGTGATGCTCCAGCTGAAGAGCTCTGAAAGCATTCTGCTCAACAAGCATTACCCAGCAGCTTGTCTGTTCCAACTACCTTTAAAAGGGGTATTTCTAGGATATTCAGTGCCAGCCCCAGTCTAAATGGGGTATGTACACTATTCTACCTCATTTATTAAGACTCAAGCCAAAGAAACAGTGTATTCAGGCCCAAAATACACAGTTGTCTCCCAAAACCACGAAGGCTGCAGGTTTACATGAGCTAGTAACACCCTGACGTGCCACAATGAGTGAAAGACAGAGGTGCAAACTGTCACCTCAGGAAAAATCTTACTCAACCTTTGGAAAAGCTCCTTAGAGAAGGCAGTTATTCCTCCACCACTGATTTTCCTATCCAATCCTGCCTAAAAGATCACACTCAACAAGTCACCGGTTGACTTGGATGGCCTGGATGATAGCAGAGCTCTAAGCAGTTGACAGCATTGGTTCCTTCAAACAGTGAAGTCAGTGACTCACCTGCGAGTCTCACTGCAGCTCCTGCAGGCAAAAAGGCAGATGAGGTGATTAATTAAGGATGCAGAATTGAAAGCTGGTTAATCAGCCCGGTGCTCCTATCTTCCTTCAGGTCTCTGCATCATCATCTCCGTTGAAGTCATGAGACAGTCCGTGAAGAGGATGATCGACAGCGAGGAGACAGTCTGGATTGAGTACAGTTACTCCTGGTCCTTCGCCTGTGCCTGTGCCTCCTTCGTCCTGCTTTTCATCTGTGGCATTGCCCTCCTCCTGATTGCGCTGCCTCGGTTCCCCCAGAATCCGTGGGAGACCTGCATGGATGCGGAACCGGAGCACTGATGCTCCCAGCACCCATGGGAAAATCCAGAAAGTGGTGTGAAAAGATTTGTATTTTTTAACATATTCGGGCCTCACTCTCCGATGTGGGCTCCAGTAACCAAGTCATTACCGAACCAAGTCGTGTTCAATGCAATTGTTGCTTTGTTTTCTTTCTTTTTCCCCCCTTTTTTCAAAGAAAGCAGAAAGGGGATTCAGCACAAGGTGGTGGTGGGTGCATGGCACCGCTCTGTGACAATCTGGGGATCCCTGTCCTGATGCGGTAGGAAGAAAATCTGTGTGTGAGACAGCTCGTGCCACAGAGAAGACAGCTTTCTTAGGGAAATGATGTTTGGTGTAGCTGGGTGTACTCCTCTTCCTCCCCAAGAAGGGCGAGCTCACCACTCTGGAATAACTTGGAGATCCTTACGCTGTTCTATTAAACAGTTAAAATATGGGATTAAAAAACCCCAAACCAAACCAAAAACTTTGCCTATTGGGGTAAAAATTTCTCCCACAAGCTTACACCCTGCAGTTCCATTCTTTTGAATTAAGTACTAAACCCCTGCAAGATACGTTTTTTGTTCTGCTTCAACTTTGACAGCAAAGCCAGGAAGTATAGAACATTAAGAGTGATATTTTCCTTCAATAAAAAGCATAGTCTTCCAGTAGCATGATTTTCTGGAAAAATGACTGATGGATGAATCACTCGGCCCATCAAATTCTGCTAGGTCCAGAGTGACAGTGTAATTCGGGATGGTATTTACTGCACGGAGCCCTCATTTGCTCTCTGTGAATGGGCTTTTTAAGACTACCATGCTTTGCTCACTGCATACATATATAAAACTACATTCAAAGTACCTACCAAGAAAGAAAGACTTAGTCTGAAGCACCCAGGAGATTCAGCCCTGAAAACACTACAGAAGTGCATGGCTGTTTATGCATGCCTGAAGAAATGCACCCCCGAGGCGCTGCTGCTGGGATGCTGCAGGGCTGGTTGTGCTGCAGAGCCCCTGTGGTGCTGTGCCATGGCTGCCTGCAGCACTGGGGGTCCCCAAACCCCATGTGCTCACCCAGCCCCTTGCACCATCGCAGTCGCCCAGCACTTGGAGGAAAAAGTGTATGTTTCACATATAGTTTTTCCACACAATAGTTTAAAAAGCAGAAGAAAGGGGAACTGAAGCATCCTTCCCTCCATGTTCACCTGTCCTCAGTTCTGAAGAAAAACAGAACTTGGAACAGAAAAACTCTGATCAATTTGAAGAGATCTGAAATCGTGACATGTTCAAACATTTCAAGAAGCTACCCAGCAATTCTGTGCTGGTACAAGGGGCTGCCCATGGCCCTGCCATCAGCCAGACCCTGTCCAGGCACAGTGAGCCCAAGCGACTCCCCACCAGACTCAGGCACACCTCAATTTTCCCACCCGTAGAGTGGCAGCAAGAACAGAAGCCTTTTGTGCAGTTGCATTAATAGTTTTCGAGCTCTTTGAAGTTGAAAAGCATTACAAATAACACATATATTATAAAGTTTGGGGATAAATCATTCACTGGTGCTCAGATCTGAGTGTGAGCTGGGGACCTCTGCCTGTCTCTCATCATGAGAGACAAGTGCAAGTCTTCAAGTTGTCACTGTGAAATGCTAAATGGTTTGGAAATCTTATTTTTGGGTACAGAGCTGACATTCTTCATTTGCATTTTCATTGTTGAGGAAAACAAAGGTTAGTTTCTAGGGAGATCCTTTACATGTGACAACAGAAAGGAAAGGAGTTGGTGTGACCCCTGCGGCAGCTGAACCCAGGCTGGGATCTATCCAAACATACACAACGCAGATTGATCTAAGCAAAACATTCCCAGCTCAGTCACCATCATCAAAATGAGCCCACCTTGGACATGCAATGGGTTGAGATAAGTGAGGTTTGGGGCCATGGGCCGAAGTTTATCACCCATGCAGACCAGTGGCATGTTCTGTGCCCCCAGGAAGCCCTTCATCCACACCTTTTCTGAAGCTCCATCCCTCTCTTGCAACACTTCTTCTGGGATGAAGTAGTTTCTAGGTGGCTTCTTATCCTGATGGGCCAACTTGTTGTTCATGATACTCAAGAGCAAGACATACGTATTTCAGATAAACACATCCCAGAAGGTCTCACCCGTCTCATGCACACTCCTATTTGTGTCAGCGCTGAACTGCCTCATCCAAGCGCCAGTGCAGGCAAAGGAAAGATTCCCACTGAGTGCTGTGGTTTGGCCTGGATCCAGAGATTTTACAGCCTCTCTGGGATCACTCTACCCACAAGCCAGAGAAAACACACAGCTTGTAGCAGTGAGACCCTACACCCACAGACAGCAACTCAGGCAGCAGAGCTTTGTGCCTCCTAAAGCTCTTAAACCCACTGAGCTTTATCCTGTGCTTTAAGTTAAGGCTTTTTGATCACTCACTACTTCGTATGGTGCCTGCAAGACTGAGAAGCATGTGGATGACTTCATTTTCTTTTTCCAGATATTAAGAAATGCTGACAAGGGACCCGTCTATTAAATTGGTCATTGGTCTTCACAGTGGGAAAGGCACTGCTCCTGCAGCAGGTTTGTTCTGCCACACCGAAATCTCTCTGCCAGGGAGAGAATAAAGTGTTTTGAGAGAGTTAATAAAAGTAATTGGCCTTCATAAAGGAAAGAGAAGAATACAACGTTGAGGGGGGAGCTGTAACCAGTTCCAGTTTTCATTCCCTCAGCTGAGCAAATGGCAAAGAATAGCCACCAAAACTTTGGGAAAGTAGCATGAAAATGGGCAAGAAACATCCTCACTAGTAGGGAATCAGTGGAACAGGGATGGGAACCTAGATGCTACACAACCAACAGGATCACACACGTGTTTGGGACACAAAGAACCAAGTGGCAAACATGCATCAGAGAGAGGAAGAGGCAAATAAAGTCACAGAACAAGTAACTACCACCAGACACTATGAAATCCTGAGCATTGAACCTACCCGTACCACAGACAACTTCGGTCATGGCTCCCACGGATATGCCATTTGCCATTCCATAAATAATATCCTTGTCCCACAGCAGGATGCCCCAGGGCATCACATGCAACACAGTACTAGGAGATTTCTCTTGCTGGTATCTGCCCATCACACCGCAAAGCCCAAGTGTTAAATCCCAGAGCAAGAGAAGACATGGAGTTTTGTGTATGTAAGAGCAGGATTTGCTGTTAGGCACAAGGCGTGAAGAGAATCTGCTTCCCTTATTTTTAAATGCTGTGTGGTGTGAATTTAATGTGCAGAAAAGGTGCCAGACTAACAACTCTGAAGAACAGAACTGCCTGTTTAGCATGCAGCTAGCTGAGCTCTCAGCATAGCGTCCATCTGCAGCGCCTGTATCCACAATAGCCACGCATCCCCAGCCAGGCGCAGGACAAGGAGCTTACCCCGAGCTCACAGGTCAGTGGGTTTAGAGCACACAAGGGGGCACAGATGGGTGCGTGCAGGGAGGGCTTCATTCAGAAATCTTAGTACAAACCCTGCTTTCCCCTCTGCCCATCCCTGACAAGGACCAGCAGATCCATTGCAAATCCATTCATCGTTTCTTATACAGTCCAAAGACTCTCTTGATTGGTGAGGCGCTGGCACAGGGTGCCCAGAGAAGCTGTGGCTGCCCCGTCCCTGTGCATGGCCAGGTTGGACACAGGGGTTTGGAGCAACCTGCTCTAGTGGAAGGTGTCCCTGCCCATGGCAGAGGGGTAGACCTAGATGAGCTTTCAGGTCCCTTCCAACACAAACCATTCCATGATTCTGTATGTGCGATGCTCAGGTGTTTGACCACCCTGGCATGTAGTTTACAAAGGAATGCTTACTTACTTATTTACTTCTTTTTTTTCTCTGGTCCTTTTCCACTCTGCCACTCCTCTGCGGCCATCACCTCTTTTTTCTCCTTACTTTGACAGTTGTGGAAGTGATTTCCAGCCAGTCCCAAAGATCTGAGAATTTCCACCCTCTTCCCCTGTAATGAGATCACTGGCCCCACTGCACAGGGGCACTTTCTCTCCTGGGCTTGACAGCTCTTGATACCTGTTAAAAGAGGTCATCGATGTCAAGAGATGGCTGTTTGCAGCGCTGTGTCCTGCCAGCCCCAAGGAGGGCCCTGGAGATTAACACCAAGCTCTTGGGCTCCATCCAGCATGTGACAGTCAGACACGCATACCAGGAACCTGACCCATGTGCAGAAACTGTTTATAGAATGAACCTCAGTTTAAACTTCATTTAAAATAAGCTTCCACTTTCCATAGCGGAACAGTGCCCCTTTGAATTACTTTTGTATTATAATTATTTGTATTACTTCTGTAACTTACATACTGGAGTGTTAGGCTGCTCTGTACCATAAACCACACACACACGACAATGGTACCTGGTTTAAATGCATCCATTTAAATTATTTCCCTTTTCTATTATTACCAAAGGGCAAGAAAAGAGCTTCACGGCTTTGTTTTGACTGCAGTAGAGGATGAGCTTGTTCTTGCTTTGTCATACTTGATGGATGTTCTGGCTCCAGTGGAGCTATTGAACATAAATTCAAGCCGTACCGACATCACACATGCACACTCTGCAGCTAGACAGACAGTGAGCAGCTTCCTTGCTTTCTGCAAGGAAATGCAGAGATTTCTGGCCTATTTCATTTTAACAGCAGGAGCAGCACAAGTGTGTTTTGGTAGGGCTGCGCCCCAGAGTTTGGGTTCAGCTTTATGCCCACCATCACTGGTATCACTGGGAGCACACCACAAGTGATGGCTTGTGCTGGTCATGAACATATCTGCCCTTCAGGAGCAAGCAAGTCCTGTGGAAAACGGACTGCCACCATCTAACTAGCCTGGGATAATTCAGATCACAGAGCAACTTCTGTCATTTATCAGAAGCATCTATTAATCTTTAATGAGATAAAAACGTTTCAACATATCTTAACTAAAGCTAAAGTTACCAACCCCTTCCCCTCACCAAACTGACATTTCCATTGCATTTGCTGCAGATCTTTTTGCTTTTCTTGAATGGAAGAGCTAATAAAGAATTGAATGATTGAATCCTTGCTCCTGACAAAGCTAACAAAAAGATACTGGAGCAAGTATTGCTATACCAACACAAATAGCCCATATTTCATGTCAAG